TTGCAAAACTCTTTACACCTGTGGAAATGGAGCGTGCTGGTTAAGTTACGGTGTTTGTGGAGAATAACATAGAGGACGAAAACAGGACGACACGTTTCTCCAGAAACGTGTCGTCCTGTTTTCGTCCTCTATGTTATTCTCCACAAACACCGTATCTTTACACCTATTTCGCGTTACATTAGCGTTAGCCAAATCATTTTATTTATGGCAGGGAATTCTGCCGTACGTATCTTATGTTACTATTACCAACCCTGGCTTACAAATTACAATACGCATAGAGAATTTCGTCCGGCAACCAGTTTGGGAATGACGAGGCCAAATTTGTGTTATAATTTTTTTGAGGTATAAGCATAATTTCGGCCTCGTTATCCGTCGGTCTCTATGATTGGCTCTTCAAGTATCTTTTGGGAAGGCAGACGACTGGCATTTTTAGTGTGCACGTGTGTCGACCAGAGTGAACATTGCTGAAGCGCCTCCAGTCTGATTTTGGCCGTAAATAACTGGAGGCCCCGGGCAAACCCATCCAATGTAGAAAAGTATCTACCTTTCTCGTTTCATAGAGAGCTATGAAAGGGACGAATCCCAGCCGAGTCAAACTAGAGGCTTACAAACGCAATCGTGTTGACAATAGCTCCAAGGAGTTTGTATGACTCTCTCTGGCAGTGTGCAGAGGGCAAAGGCACGGAGGTAATATATGCTTTCGCCTAGTCACCTCGCAAACGGTTGGGTATTGGCTGCAGAGATCCATTTCGCTTTGTTTTATTACCGGGATTATAGCTTGATTTCTGTGTTCCTAATTTCACAGACAGAACGAAATCGCTTTTCTCGTGTGGCGTCACGGCGGTGAGACAGAAATGAATCAGTGTACCGGAATTCGACGCTTGTGCTCGTTCTATAGCGCTCCTAAAAACCGTGTGATCACGGCTGTCCAATTAACGTCAACAATGCATAAACTGCAGTTACTTGTACTCGTATTGCATCGTGAGGGAACGACTATGACTGGGTAAACAGGAATAGGGAGAATGGGTGCGTGTGATTTGTCGAAGTTCGAACCAACAAATCAAGCTTCAACGAATACGATAGTATTGCATTCACTGAACCAGCTATATGAGTTTTCAGACGGTATATACCTTCCAAGTATGCGATTCGTGTTCTGCCAGTGGTGCCTCAGCTAAATTAAAAAGCAAAATCCACGTTGAAAAAAAAAAATGTTTACGGTGACTCGAGCCGCTCCCGCGCCGAATCATGTTTCACGTAAGCGTAATCTTGGGGTCGATGCACGACGAGTTGTCTTCAATCATGAAAATAGTTTGATTACGATTATTGGCAGCGCTAAGAATTTGAAAGCCAAGCAGTGAAGACAACGGTGTTCTTAGAAATATTATATACATTTTATTTTACACTGTTTGACTACGCTGCCGTCGTTATATTCTTGAATTATTGGCTAGCTTGTGGCGGACAGGGAAGTCTTGCAGCAGGACCATATGATAGGACCTACACTAAACCTGCCGCACTTCAAAAAATGTTAGTCCAATGCATACAAGCTTGTACAAGACGGACGGAGCGTTGCGCATCCGGCAAAACGCATACAATCGCTGCCCGCAACGTTTTTTTTTTCTTTTTTTTTTTTTTTTTTTGAGCAGCGAAATAATTTTTAGTCAAGCAGCAGGCCCCCTCTTCGGCGGGTTAAGCCGGGTTAACGGAGGCGTCTCCTAATCCATTCTCCATGTTGTCCCCTCGGGGGAGGGCGGTAAACAGGTAGGGGAAGGCGGTGAAGGAAGGAAAGGAGGGCAGGAGAGGAGGAAACGCAGAAAAAGTGGAAAGCGCGAACTGTACGGCGGCCTTTAATTGTAAGAAATGTGCTCATATGACAATAACCAGGAAAAAAAATCCACTCCCCTCCAGCTACTGCCTCCAGGGGACCGCGCTCAACACAGTACCCCAATACCAATACCTGGGACTAGTAATAACGTCTGATCTGCGTTGGAATTCACATATTGACTTCATTACTCACAAGGCAATGGGCACATTATGGACTTTAGAACGGCGACTAAAAGACTGCTCCAACAATACAAAACTAATCGCGTATAAGACATTCGTCAGGTCTTTGATGGAATACGCTGATGTGGTATGGGATCCTCACACAAAGTCAAATATTAATAAGTTGGAAAGAATTCAGAAAAAAGCGCTGCGATTTATTTTTAACACATACGGTAGAAACACATCAATCTCAGAACTTTATGTCCAGAGCGGTGTCCCTTCTTTACAAAAACGTAGAAAAATTAGCCGACTGAAGTTCATTTTCAACCTATTAAATAACAATTTCAACTTGGACTACAGCAATTACCTTCATTTCAATACTAGTAGGCCAACAAGGAACAAGCACTGCAAATCTTTCACTGAAATAAGGTGTAGAACTGACTGCTTCAAATATTCCTGTTTTCCACGTACGATTCATGAATGGAACTTGCTCCCACAAGAAATCGCCTCCACAGATTGCGTATTGTCGTTCACAGCTAAGTTAAAGGAATCGGATGTTGTTTGATATTACATGCGTATGATTTGGTTTGATTGTCTGTGATTGTGCTTTTCTACTAGTCATGCTTTAGATATTTCTTTTTTTTATAGGTTTGTACTGTGTTTTTTTTTTTATGTTTGCGAGTGTTTTTGTGACGTGTAGTTGTAAAAGATCCTTTTGTGTAGTCATTCTTTGCATGGGAAGAATCCTATCAAGGGCATCTGTTGGCCCTTTATTCCTCTACGAGTTGTAACGCCACCACACCTATGTATTTTATTTTCAAGTGCATTTTATTGTGTATATCTCCTGCCTTGGCTGCGTATTAGCAGCCGGCAGTATCAATAAATAAATAAAAAAAAAAGAAATGGACACTTTATTTGGCAAATGTGTGCAACTGTAAAACACAGAAGTACAAACAAGTCAGATATGAAGCCTGTGCCGACAAAACATGGAACTTTACCTTCTGTCATCAGGATTACGTGATCTTGCTATAGTAAACACACATGCACTTTCCCAGGCTCTCCTCGTTAAGCCGCACTCTTTCTTTCCTATTAATGTGACCCTGAGCTTCGAGAATGCCCTCTCGACACTGACACTGGACACTGGCAGGCTGAGGAGATGAAGCGCTGTCTGAGCCGAGATCGGCCAATCAACCAAATGTGACCGCCAAAAGAAACACGGTGCGACGTTTTGAAGCATAACACAACATGCAGACCTTGCATCAAGTCAGTCTTCCTTACAACGAGTTTGAAAACAGGCTTGTACATGGCGAAGTCATGGGGCAATTTTGACTTCACGTTCCGATCGATGATGCGCACATTAAACCAATATGTCATGATGGCATCAGTGTTTCCCATACATTCGGACACGTTTCGATAGACACTGTCGTTCCACCTTTTCACCACGGCCCTGCCGTACGACTCGGTCAAAATTATATTTTTCCGGTTAAAACCGAATTTCCGAAAATGAATTCGGCTTACTTTTATCGGTTTAAACCGAAAACTCCGAACCCTAAGTATAGGCTACACTTTGGTACTAAAATTCTAGCCTCGTGGCTTTAGAAACGCGAGATAGCGCTTTAATCGCCAGCCAGATAATTTATTTATTTAGCTATCCCTAAACATACCAAATGTTGCACGGACCACACGTCAAAATCTTCCTGTAGACACTACGTACACCGCTGAAAAAGGACAGGTTGATGCCGTAATGGTCGCGCGGAGGAGAATCACCGGACAAAAACTCACCGGAGATAAGCTCACCAGAGTAAAGTTCACCGGGAAAAAAGCTCACCGCAAAACTATCCGAAGCGGAGAAAAACTCATCGGCCTTTTGACGAATGCGGTGAGTTTTTTCTCCGAGATTCAACACAATAGTCACCACCAATCGACCTGTTTTGAGGGGTGCATAGCAATCAGTGTAATTAAAGGTGTACAATATTTTTCTTTGCAACCATTATTTAACTCTTGAAAGTAAACGTACAGTTTTAAATAGAAACTTGATGAACTTAATCGGAAACCCCTAAATAGGTAAGTTAAAAAAAATAAATAAATAAAGCCTATACTCCGTACCACTAAAACCGTGCAGTACAGCCAAAGCTACAAGGGAGAGAGCGTATACCAACCTGTCCAAGAGGAGGGAAAGGAGGAGAGTGAGAGAAGGGCTTGGATTCCCTGTTCCTCCTTTCCCTCCTCTTGAACAGGTCGGGACACACTCTCTCCCTTGTAGCTTTGGCTGTACTGCACGGTTTTAGTGATACGGAGTGTAGACTACAATTTCGTTTTTGCGTCCAACAACCAACAAGAAACCCAAGTCCTAGCTGAAACCTCAAAAGCGCGTTGTGCTACCAAATCAGTTTCCTTTAAAGAAAAAAAATATATATATTATTAGTATTATTATTAAATTATTATTTTTTTAATACTCCTAGGTGGCAGCCACTTTTTCTTGCGCGGTGTAAAATTTACGCGTTAAATAAAAAAAAAGAATATATATATATATATATATATAAATAAAATTTACGCGTTAAATTAAAAAAAAAAGAATATATATATATATATATATATATATATATATATATATGAGAAAAAGGGCGGACAGACACGAAATTGCTTTCGGCGTTTCGAGTCTATCCTTCCTTTTTTTGTCTCCTCGCTCCAGGGTTACCATGTCCATCCTTAACCAGCTCGCCTGCCTACTCGCTTTAACTTCAATTATAATAATCATCTTTATTTTGACGTATCCACACAAACAGCTCATGGCCCTTTGTGTAGTGTCCTACAAATAAAAGAAATAGTGGACATAGATATGAAATATGAGCGTACATCGTAAAAGAAATGCTATCTAAATCTCTAAATAAAAATATGCAAACATAAAACGTAAAAAAAAAAAATAATAAAAACAAAAACAGAAATAAACAGAAACGTGTAATGTGGCGCCATCTTTGGCCGGAATGAAACACCACGTGCAGAACATTCACGTTCACTCCGAGAGATGCCGCCACCGCTCTTGTTTTGCCACTAATAATGGCGGTGTGCATGCAAAAAGTTGGGTCGGACGCCGGTGTGTTTCGACCATTTCTTTCTCTGCAAGTTCGTTATATTTTTCCGACGCTACACTAGACCGTCCCTATGGAGAGTCCAGAGAGCTGGCTTCCCATTCCCCGCACCTACGATCCGCTGAAGGCGGGCAGTATCGACGGAACAGACGTCAAACCCCACGACCACGGCGTCGTTCGGGCACTGGAGGTGGGTTCTTCGCGCTGTTTTTTGAAGTCATAGGATCGCCCACTATGACAGTCCCGGTGTGACCTTAGTAGCACTATGACCATTTTTGTAACTGCACAGATTAACGTCTTCTTCCGTTGGCTCGTTATTTATGCTGTAACGTAAAAAGTCTGTCACTCTCATGGTCCCTTGTAAGTTTTGTAGGGCAGCCGCAAGTTCTGACTCTGTTAGAGGTGTTGTGGGAATTCTCACTACTTTTCTGCATGACATATGGGACGTTTAGAAAAAATTTCTTTACCTGTTCTTTGCCCCTTTTGTGTCCCATACCGCTTTTTAAGACAAGATGTCTGTTCATATGTCCAGAACGTCAGCCTTGCATTCTGCTAAGTTGCAGAGAAAGGCCAGCTCACAAAGTTTCTATGAAAGCTTCGTCCGATGACGGGGGCATTTGTCCAATGTGCAGGCCACCTACAAGCCGAGCAAGTACATCAAAACGGACCCCAAGCTGACCCTTTTCGTTGGAAGGCTGAACCCAACGACCAGTGAGGAGAGGCTACGGGAGGTGGGTTGGGTTCACTTTGTACGACTCTCTACCCCAAAAGTTGCTAGCGGAATTGCCCCCTTTTTTTTTTTTATTGCAGTAGGCCTTAAGCAAAATTGCCTTAACAACTCTGAGAGCATCGCCATTTTAATGTTGGCAAACGTCGTCAGTACCGAAGCACGGTGGAGGCATTGGTGACAACCGTTCGGGCAGTGTGCGATGGCGCGACAGCTGTGTTTTCCGCTTTCCAACCATAGAGAGTGGACGAACAGTTTAAACAACCAACCGCAACTGTCTGCAGAAACTCTCGGTGACCTGTGCATGCTGGCAACAACCTGCAGTGTGTAAGCTTCCACAGCAAAGGCATAGGACTTGTTCTGCTGCTTCGACGAGGTTGTCGCCAGCGTGCACTGGCTGCTGAGAGTTCTATCAGACAGTTGTGGTAGGTTGTTAAAACTGTTTGTCCAGATTCCACGGTCGGAAAGCAAAAAACACAGCTGCCGCGCCATCGCACATTGCCCATACGGTTGGCTTCAATGCCTTCACCATGCTTTGGTATTGACGACGCCTGCCAGCATTAAAATGGCGACGCCCTCAGTGTTGCCAGACCACCAAGCAATTTTGCGCAAGTTCTATTGCCACTCGCATAACGCCTGCTCGGTAGTTCTTGCCTAAACCTTAGGGTGGCCTCACGAGGTGCAACGTTTTCCGACACCTCAACATTGCAGCAGCTGCAACTCCTGTCTCTCACAATGCCACGCAGCAACCGCTGCAATAGCGGTGTCCTAGATCATCATCATCATCATTAGAAATGTGATTCTCTTGCACAGTGTTAGGCTTAAACTCATGCAGAAATAGCATATTTTTGTGCCTTTGGACAACGTTACGGACGCCAACTGACCCTCGAAACCATTAGCCCGCAAAAGCAATCTATAGGAAACAAAGTACCCTCTTCAGATATCATCACCACCATGAGGGATTACGTGAAAACACTGCATCGCTAAATAGTTGTTTCTGCCTCAGACGCTTGCAAGTTGCGACGATTGAATTGTCAATTTCCATCCCAGTCAGTCCCAGCAATTTATAGAGCAACAACTGACAAGTCATCAGCAATCTTGGAATTACTGTGAAAAGTATTTTGTCTAAAGTTAGCCTGAACCTTGGGTCTTTTACTAAATCAGTCTTGTATTTTGCTCTGATGCTGTGGGGTTTTTTGCAACGAAGAGCTACTCGTTTTTACTCTTTTGAGCAGCAAACTTTGGTTCTGGAGAAAATGGGGTGCTGTACTACAGTTGTTGAGGGTCTCTCCTTTCCCAAAATCTTCTTTCCCTCCCTCCATGCCAGTGATCTCTTTGTCTTTTTGGAACAACTCCAGTTCTTCGCTCACTACGGGGAAGTGCGGAGCTGCCGCCTGGTGAGGGACATCATCACGGGCTTCTCCAAGTGCTACGCCTTCGTCGAATACTACGAGCTCAGGGATGCGCTCGCCGCTAATGACGCAAACCAGGAGTACATCGATGACTACCGGATCTTCGTCGACTTCGAGCGAGAAAGAGTCCTTCCAGGCTGGGTGCCTCGGCGCCTAGGTTAGTTCTTTCGCTTTTTCATTTCCCCCTTCTTATGACACGCTTCGAGTGCTTGCAGCTCGATGCGGTCAATCTAGCATGCTCAGACGAGACCTTTTTGGAGGAAAAACACTCAGATGCAATTCAATACAGTTCTAGTACACTCAGACCAGACCCTTTTGATTGAAAACACTCAAATGCAGCTCAATACAGTCCTAATACACTCAGACCAGACCCTTTTGGTTGAAAACACTCAGATGCAACTCAATACAGTCCTAGTACACTCAGACCAGACCCTTTTGATTGAAAACACTCAGATGCAGCTCAATGCAGTCCTAATACACTCGGACCAGACCCTTTTAAATGAAAAACAGTCAGATGCGACACAATAGAGGCAGTCTGGCAGGCTCAGCTCAGACTCTTTTGAATGCAAAAACACTGAATTCTTCAAATGACATTTCAGTGACCCGGCCAGTGTGCTTGAGATAGAGAAGCATACCCACCGAGCATTGAAGTTTGGTTCTACAGGTGGTGTCACCTTGTGCGAAAATGTTGCAATTCTGGGACGGCCCTCAGCTGCACTAATTGGATTTGTTCTCGAGCTCGTACGTCCAAGCGCCCTGTGGACTTTTGACGCAGTGCTCATGTCATATCGTTTGGCGGCATGGCCTGCCCAAAGTTACCTTTTTTGGCCACTGCCCGTACTCATTAGCAGCCGATCAAGGCACCTCCTGTTGGCCGTCCTGGGGCTATGGGACATAGCTTTGCTGACGAATAGGCCGACAGCTATTCACTCCGTGACGCACTTAGCACAAACATGATACGAGCATTTTTTTTATGGCACGTTTCGCCCACATGGACATTGACGAAAACTTAATTAGGCGGCTTGCGTTGGTGCTTCGAATTTTCACTCTCTGCCATGCTGGTAGTTTTATTGACAGCCCTTCAGTTCTAGGAGCGTAAAACAAAAAAACCCAGCTCTGTAGCCATAGTGGTGCAGGGTGTGATAAAGTTTGCGCTAACTTCGTTGCAATCTACGCATCAAATAAAACACGAAAGAACTGAATAAGAGCTAGACCAAACTCTTCCGTGTTTATCTTACCTTATCTTATAATTTTACGGGGTTATAGCAGATCGTTCTGGCGATTCCGACAGAGATGCCCGATACTCCACTGGCGCCTTCACAGTTACATCACGTCGGTACTGGGTATTGTTATCGCACTTGTTGGAACGATCCTCTGGTGCCTGGTACGCATCTTTGACAGGCATGTTTATTGCGTCCTAGAAAGTGGCCCCTCCACTTCTGCCCGAGGACGTCGCAAAAGCGCCACGCTGTCGCTCTCCGCAATCCCAGCAGTGTTGCAGCAACGGTGGTGGATGTCGCAGATGCTCGTTCCACTGCAGGTCACTCTCCAAATTGAGTCCGCGGAAGCTTCGATGGCCAGGAGCGGGAACTCCGTGACGACTGCGACACACGCTTTTGCTCGTGCTTCTAGCCATGACTCGTAGCACCAACAGCCAGGATCGCGTCTGCGATGTCGTTTGTTGCCACTTCAAGACCGTTTGGGACGTATGGACGGCATAGGTCGCCAAGCACACTGTTCGGAAGACTTGTTCCAGACACCGTGCTAAGACTCCCTTTCGTCTCGCGTCACATACCCTACCCGAATTTCCACAATCGCGGGTACCTCACCTGACCTCCTTTTTGTGTCCTCGTTCAGGCGGCGGCTTCGGGGGCAAGAAGGAGTCCGGCCAGCTGAGGTTCGGCGGCCGAGACCGCCCCTTCAAGAAACCCATCGTCGTCAACAACCGCCAGGGGGCACCCTTTCCGCGCTCGGCGGACTTCCCGTCCGCACCTCGCGGCTACTCCGGGGGCTACGGCAACCGCGGAAGAGACCCGGACCGACCCGACCACTCGCACGGAGACCGCAAGGACGAGTTCTTGCGACGGAAGCGGATGGAATACGAGCGGTCTCGCGGGCGGCAGGACGAGGACCGCAGCGACGGCCGCCAGGAACGGAGGCCACAGTGGCAGCAGCGCGAAGGCGACGGTCAGCGGAGGCCGGCGGAAGATCGGTATCCGTACGGCAGGAGAGACGACTACCGTAAAGGTGGTTCGACTCAGAGGTAGCTAAAATGTCGGAGGACACTCGCAGTGGCGTCGGTTGACTGTGGAGAAAAAGGAAAGATAAGGCATTGAGGATACAAGACAATACAGCACCTATATTTTCTCCTGGAATCAATCGATGAAAAGGAGGTCTGGAAAAGAAAAAGCTGTGAAACAGCTTGACGGATTCTCGGCCCTCTACAGTGGCACAAGAACAGCAGCTCGGGAAAAGGAAAACAACATGTTGGGTTGTCATACTGCACATTCAATCAAAAATTAAAATACAACGAAAAAAAGAAAGAACATGCAATTTTGTCACGATATCCAATTGAATCACAAACACATATTAATGATGCACTCATAAATTTCATAGTTAATGGTAAGAGATTGCATGTTGAGGTTGTGACTGGTAAAATTGTTAAGTAAACGTTTAAGAGTATACTTTAACGTAGGATAGGATGACGTAACTTTAGTTGTGTTGTATCAAACAATAGTACTCGCCAAGTAAGCCTATTTTGTGTTCTGAGCTGCGAACTTGAGGCTCTTTCCTTCATTGAGGAGAGGGTGAGTTTCTTATTACGAGCTCAGAATAAAGCTTTTGTTACCTGAACTGTTTTCGTTTTGCTCGTTTTGTGCTTTCTTACTGTTACATCTGTTCCAACACGCTCGTCAAAATTTTCTGAGCGGTGAATTTATTATAGTTTTAATGATGCCCTGTTTAACTTCTGCAATGATGTGAATGAGGGATAGCCTGTGATAATCTATGATTAGCATTGAAAAATCGATGGACCCTGGTATTCAATTAGCTTTACTGCTATATCAACTGTGATACCATGCAGGTGCCATTTGCATGTACCTCCAGAAGCAGAAGTGCATTTAACCTGTGGATTCTGAAGCCCTTATTGACTTGGAACACATACTAGGAATCACAATATTTGGCGGCTCTAGCCACGTCCGTCACTGTCATCATTTTAATCAATGGCATCTGTGGCGTGCTGATGGCGGCCTTCTGGTGTCTAATGAAGGGAAGAAATTAAGACAGTCACCGAGCGATATAGCACCAAGTCTGGATTCTAGACAATTGGCTAATGCAAAGCACCATTTCGAATATGCATCCAATCAAACACACACTGCCTGTAAGCTCTTTCGTAAAAGGGGAGGGGGGATTTTATCAAGAGCTTGACTCAGGCCAATGCCCTGCGCAAACCGGTGGCTTCTTTGTCACCATCAAAACTGAATCAAATCGAGCAACAACTTATGACGAAGAAGACACTCTCGTCTGCTGTTGACGGTTCCCTATAAAACATTATAGTTTTACCAACTCCAAGTCGGTCCACAAGAAAATTATAACTTTTATTTGTAACGTCTGACTGGAGAGAAGTTTTTCTGCTATACTTTCACAAATCAAATTTTCCACTTAGCTGCACCTACTTTGAAAGTTGCAGTGTCGTAGCTTGCATAATTAATTATTTTTCAATTTGTTTATAATCTGTTTGATCCATTTGACTTGCCCCATATTGATGGTGTTTAGGGACATGTCACAAACCTGCCAGGGTTCAAGATCGACCAGGTCCGACTTTTTATCACTTGTAACTAGGCTTGTCGTGAACTTTTGTTGAACCCTTCTAACTTTTTGCGAACTTTGACTTGTGGACAGTGCTGCGCTGCTTCTAGACAGAGATATCGAATTTTGGGGAACATATGATTTAAAGCGTAGACTTTTTTTGTATTAATGTTTACATGATATAAAAGTAAAAATATGTGCTTTGAATGCTCTTGCTGGTTAGTAATGCGAACCAGTGATGGCAGTACACCCAAGAAATATTGCACTCTTCCTCCACCAGGTGGTGTCAGCTCGTTTCTAAATTATCGCGCATGCGCACAAAAGGTGAACTTCAGTCTAACTTTTGTCGAACATCCCACTGGAAGTTCGAAAGAGTCGAACTTGGTCGAACTTGAACCTAGGCAGGTTTGCAACATCTCTATTTCTAGGTTGAAGTTTGACTGAAGTTTGACTTTTGTCGCACGTGAAAAATTAAAAACGAGCTGACGACACCTTGCAGAGGAAAAATGCAATAATTGTTTCATTGCTTTACCGGATACTTTGCCATAAACTAATAAAAACACTAAAACTACATATCTTCACTTTTATATTGTGCAAGCATTGGTAATCGTTTCGTAAAATATAAATTACTTTATAATAATTCTGTTCCTAAAAATTCGAAATTTTTTTTTTTTTTTGTAGAAGTCGGGCAACACTCTCTATGTGTTGAACTTTTAGTTTTTAGGGTAGGTGGCGTATATCAACTTCGTAGGTTCCAAGATTCGGCGAAGGTTCATGACATCCCTGATAGGCGTGTCGCAAACTTTTGTCGAACCGGATTTTTGGTCAAACTTTTGGTGTTCGACTCTGGTTCGAACCGGTCGACGAACGTTCGACCTTTTAACCAGATTCGAACGGTTCGCCTTTGTGAACAGTGTTGGCAGACCTTGATACAGGCATGTCGAGGTTTGGCGAATGTTTTTTTTTATGCAAAGAGTTATTTTCGTTTTATGAACAGTTGCAATTAATTGAAACTAATTCTAATCACTGAAGAAGTTAATAACTTAACTTTTTGTACTGTATTGACTGAAATAACCAATCAGTGCTGCCTCTAATTCTTCCCTTAGCCATCACCATTCAATCCGATTCCAACTGGCCTGCCTGTCGCGCATGCGCATAGCAGTCGAACCTGAGTCGAATCTTTGTCGCACTTTTCACAAGAAGGTAGAAAAAGTCGAACCTGGTCGAACTCGAACTTCGACCGGTTCGCGACATCCCTTTCCCTGACGGTGCTTGCGGCTGAACATAACCAGTGCCGTGACGTCGGATGCAGGCACGAAACCATCTCCCACATCTTATGCATGCTGTTCTACGAGTGCTGAAGTAAGCTTTCATGTATTTTACTTCGCACCATCAAACTTCTTGTAATCCCTATCTTTTTAGAATAATTTTTCCGGCCCAAACAGTGAACCTGCACCTGCCACTGGATGGTTAAATGGATACTGCACTCTTTTAATGCGAAAGCTTTAACTGGTCCCATGGAGCGAGCCGACGTCATCAGTTTTGAAGCCGCGCCAGACGGCACCTTAAATCCTTTTCCAAGTGAAGCCAGCTCCCAGCTATGATACCACGCGAGAAGCCTAGCCAAACGGCTCCTAGTTTCCCAGACCCGAAACGAGCGGAGTAAAGCTGATGGATTTTCGGCTTCGATCCCATTGGCTGGCGCGCGTCGACGAGGCTCCCATTGGCCGCTGCGCGTAAGTTTCAACGACCGCCACCCCATGGCGCTGCGTGTCCGTCAGCGCGCCGGTAACACGAAACGCCCAAGGTCAGAGCGGCGAGGAGAGGGCGCGCTCTGCCGTCGATGCAAATACGCTGCAGAAGAATGACATACTTATGATCTTAGTTGCGGCGGCGAAGAGAAACCGGGTCGTCTGTCTTTCCTCCGTGATATTGTGTTGTTATAACGACATTACTTTTGTTTTTGTACCTTTCTGCCTGCTCACATCGAACGACCAGCACGTGACTCTGACGTCACTCCGCGGCGGTGGCGCTGCAGTCGGCGCATGCGCAGATGCCTCATTTCACACGAATCTGGTCTCTCTGGGCGAATGCGGACTGCAGATTTGTAAACAACGCGGTAATCCTGATTTTAGTAAGGATGCTGTGTGTATTTGCGCTCGGAATATAAAATACGAGCCCCCGAAGTGTAACTAAATGGTAGCAATAAAGTGGTATTTACTGTGTTTAAAATCCACTGGCCTTCCTGCTTTAAGGGATGGGCCTAAGCACTGCCGGCTTATAATGCTGAAGACAACACAACACCCCCCTGCGAAAAAGATATCCTGGCTTACACCTCTAGTGTGGGCCGCAGCGTCGGCCCTTTCAAAATCTGGGCAGCTAAACAAAATTCGAAACCAACGGACACTATTAAAAAAAAAAACATATTTTTAATAAGCTACCACAACCTTTATGAACTATATAACTGGTATATAAGTTTTGAAATCACCTTATACAGGCTGTTTTTCTTTAAGCTTAAAATTTTTTTTTTTAATGCCTTGAAAGGTATACACTTATGCGGTTTGTGCAAGTGAGTTATTCGGCCATATATGGGACATAGCACAGGGGGTGAATCGTAATGCTCAGTCGGCTAATGAAGTAAAATTTGATAATTAACTTTTAAGTAATGATAATAGACATATGGTTCCAATTAGAAACTTGCCGAGCGTCATCGAAAACCACTAAGTCGGTATTCTTGAGAAGGAATTGAAGCGCGTGAGAAGCGCAGTATATAGTTTTCTAGAGTTAGCACTCGTGCTGCAGGAGTGAGGCTACTGGTGCAGTAACGCGCCCGCGCAATTTTTTTTCGTCTCATCTTTCTGCGGCGCCACGGTTCTCCTGAACCAAAATAATAATAATAATAATAATTATTATTATTATAACCTCAGCCTTGTACCTGCTGCACGAGTGCATGGTACCTTTAGTGTGCTACTATGTTTCCCACGCGCTCAAAGTATTTCTAAAAAGGATTTATTTAGTGGTTTTCGACAGCGCTCAGCAAATTTTTAATTAGAACCACGCGTCTATTCTCTCAAATTAAAAAGTTAATGAAGAAATTTTAATTAATTATTCGACGATTAGACCCCCGTATTTTGTCCCCTTGGTCGTACAACTCACGCGCACGGACCGTAGAAGTGCAGCTTTCATGGTTGTTTTAAACAAATCTTAAACTAAAAAAAAAAAAAAAAAAATCCTTTATGTTTTTGTATGGTTATTGAAGACAGTCAAATATTATTAATATTTTCACTATACCCGGTCGTTGATGAAGGTAAGCGGGACAAGCTGCTCCCCACAAAGTCTTCTGCTCTTTCCACTTTAGCTGAGAGTAGCTGGGGAGGGGGTGAGTGGACTCGCCCGACTCTCTCGCCCCCTCTCCAGCGCAAAATCGAAAGAGCTCAGGGATTTACGGCAGGAGCTCGTCACACTTTTCTTGATTCGCATCAAGGTATATATCGGGGAATGCGGCTGATAATGTGGTCGCCTATCTCTCCGTGCGTGTCACGTTTCGCGCATAAACATCGTCGTTTTTTTTTTTTTTTTTTTTTTTTTGGTCTGCTATGTTTTTGTTTTGCATCTTCGTCCCTGATGGTCGAGGTGGATGGATGCTAATGGCTATAGCTTTTGTAACGGACGGTAGCTTGCGCCACCTAGCCTAAGCCTAAGAAGACAAATGTACAAGAGTATCTGGTGTCGCCAGTGTTGCCACCTACCTGCCTCTTGCCTGCAACACGCGGCAACCTGCAGCTGAAGGGGGGCACATTCTTCAAACCAAACCCTCCCCCCCCCCCCCTTTTTTTTCCCTCACAAAAAAAAAAATTACGACAGCGCCGTTTGGGTTGCGTCGAAAACCCGACAGGCGGCACTAGGGGTCCGTCGTCGCCCGAATGTCCATCTCTCTTTCACCTCGCGACGAACCTGAGCGGACGCTACGAGCTCTTAGAACCAACCCGATCCCGCCTGAGTATCACGTGACCTTCAGGAAGTGCGCGGAGATATCTCGTTCCAAGAAATTTACTTTAATTCGATTCGTTTTATCATCAGCAAGGCGCGCATAGATACTACCGAAAAAGCGGATGATCCCTTAACCATCGCTAGTTGGGCGCCATTAAACTAAGGCACCTGAGCCGTAATAATGTTGATACCTGGGCTAGGTAGTAGTCACCATACATACCCGGGTAAAATCGTCTAGTAATGATGGATTGTAGTCCCTAGTTGCGAGCTAGCGCCCTGTTCCGTTCTTCCTCTATCTCCGTTTTCCCCTCGGTATGTACGGCGTCTAAGCCAGCGACGCGCGGGGTGCACAGTCACGTGACAGGTTCAGGGCGCCGGATTGGCTGGGGAACGACCCGTAGCGTC